TTATCGATCGTCATTATTTATGAACGAAGCCGCCGAGTATAGGCACGTTAGACATCGCGCGGGGATACCGATACTCGTAAGTACTAGACACGTCATCGGTTGGTGTAGGAATTTATATTATACATATGTCACGCGTATAATATATATACACACAGCCTACAAGGATTTAATCGATAATAACGAGGTTCGTGTACGCGTGCATAAACGGGGTGACGTAATTTTTTAATAAAGCCGATACGTATACGTACACCGTCCGGCGCGACAAGTGGCGCGATCGTTCTGGATCGTGTGTTAATGACGGCTTAAGCTGTGCAAACGGTTTGCCGTATACGTTATTGGGTTCGCAAACAAATTAGGTGTTGGAATAATCAATGTTACATGCCGCAAAGAGAGAATAATCCCTTCTGGTCGCACCTTATACAACTATTGTTTCCCGATGAGCTGTATTTTTTTTATTTTTTTTGTTTGTCATCCTCCGCTATAGTTTCCAAAGAGTTTGCACGTCATCAGGAAAATATGATTTTTTTTTTTTCGTGGATTCATGCCCGTTTTTCTGTCGTTTCGTGTACATATTATATACGATTCGTGACGAGAAGGTGCATTATTTTTTTCCTCTAGTATAGGCACGTTGTTAATGGAAAAAAAAAAAAAAAAAAAAAAAAAAAAAAAGAATAAGTATCTGAAATATAGCCACAAACGTGCAACATCAGCTGATGTGAGAAATAACATTTCTCGTACAGTCCAATGTATGTACAGAGTAAATAAAAAGGAAAAAAAGGATCGTTGTGTGCTTTGATGAAAGGTACTGATCATCGGGGCACAAAACACACACCCATACACAGCGCATGATGAGTAAACGCAAAATGAACAATCGAACGAAGAAAGGAAAAAACATTGTTTGATCTTTGATTGGAGCGTCCGGCAGGTATAGGTATTGATTTTCTAAATCATGCGGAGCCGTCGAATGGCCCTTTTACGATTTCGAGCACCTCTTTGGACACACCATTAGAGAAGCGAACGACGGCCCCGAGAACACTCGTACATATCCGCGGAAAAAAAGGCGCGGTACGTAATTTCTCTTCTCCTCCTTACTTTTTTTTTTTTTTTTTTTTTTTTTTTTATTACTCCATTATTCGTGCTCCGGTAGAGTTAACGATTTCTTTGTACCTGGAAACCGATGGCACATTATATACTACACGTGACATTAAATTTAATGGTCCCAAGAATGTCACTCGATTTTCTACGATATAACACATTATACCTGGTAATAAATATTAATTGAGATATGACAAACAACATTTGCGTCGGATCGATGCGTATGTACCCACTAACATTTTGCACGTTTACAAAGCCAACTAACGTAACTTTGTTTTCAATTTGCCGAGCTTTTTGCCGCGCGACCTAGAGAGAGAATTTTCTCGGAACGGGGGGGGGGGGCAGAGGTCTTTTCTTCAGTTTCTCGCTCATTTGCATCCGTTGCAGCGGCAGTAGTAATAGTGAGGTATGGTATGCGTATAGCGTAGATAAGGCCTGTTTGCGCTTAATTATTACCGATTTATGTAATATTTTTCCGCTGCAAACGCCGAGGCCTCAAAAAGGTGACTCGCAAATAGTCTCCTCGAGCCGAATGAAAATAGAAAACGCATATTACACGCAAATAATACCAATATACCTACGGACCGGCTGCCGAAAAATGTTCAACCATACGACATACTATGATGTACTAAGTATAACACATTGGGTAAAACGTGAAAGCTGTACAGCCGCGCGTGTTGGCTTAACGACCAATAAAGCCTATAGTTTGGTCGATCAATAACGACGACGACGACGACGACGACCAAAGACAATGCGTTTGGTTGTAAATTTTCGCGCGGATACGTCGGACGAAATTCATATGTGTATGTGTACGTACATTATACACACGTGCGCGCAATTTTTGATTATTCGTCTCAACGATCGATACGCGTTTGTCGACCCAACTACGTTTGCTATATGCTGCTCAATACACGCGCGTCAACGTAACAAAGGAACAACAGTTTGTGTTGTGGTTTTTGTTTAGTATATAATTTTAATTACATAGTTACTTGGTCGCGATGCGAGATCGGTAAGAAAATCGGCAGTTTATACTTTGGCCGTATAAGTATAAGTCACACACTGCACTTCCTCGTTGGCGGTAAACTTATGGCTAAAACGGGCTAAAATACGTTGACCTGGAAATAAGTGAAAAGGCGTGTTCCACCAAATAGACTTGATCGAAGTAATGAGAAGAAAGAAAGGAGAAAAAAGGACCCTTTGGTTTTTCGAGAGAGTGATGAACACCACGTGTCACTCGGAGCTCGTTAATTTTCAAAGGTACTGGATTTATGGTCGAAAAAGCTCCACACACACGCTTCCGAGAACCCTCCCATTCGCGAGCGGGTATGCCCATTATTATTTATTTTTTTTTTTTTACGGCACACTCGCCGGTGGGTGGCTCGCGAACACACCTCGTGTGTGTATACACATACAGGGTTCAAAGAAATAAAAACAGTTGGCGCAAGCCCAACGCAAAAACCGCGCGATCGACGAGAAGTAGACGGGTGCATGTGCATCGCACGTATATATTGAAACATCAGCACCGTGTAATACCTACGGTATAGCCCAATTAGGCTCACGAGAGGGCTGGCAACGATAACCCTCTCCTCCCCCTCTGACTCCGTAAGAAAAAACAAAAAAAAAAAAAAAAAAAAAAAAAAAAAAGGGCCACAGGTAGTAAAGGGTACATAGTAAAATCGAAAGCGCGAAAAGTGGGCTAAGCATATAAATATATATATATACACCCACGCGGGAAAATCGGTAATCGTTGTAACGTTGTTTTTTATCACCATGGTGCAAGAGAGGGAGAGAGGAGAGTCGAGGACACGAGAGCGCAAAGGAGAAGGCCATGCATATAGGCTATAGATCACAGGTATACCTTATATTATATATATATATTTATGTAGGCAGCAATAAGGCTCTCCCATTCCAGGAGGGGGCGGCGTTGTATATATAACATCAACTCGTAGGTGTACATTGCGACGTCGACGACGATGACGACGATGACGACGACCCGGCGAGCGATGATGATGACCGCACGATACAATACCGACAAATCTTATACATTGTTATATGTTTATACAAAAGTTATAAGTATAGGTATATATATATATATATATATATATATATAGACATATATATATATATATATATATACATGTATACAGAGAGGGAGAGCAATCAATACATCCTATTTTATATGCCTTCTAAATCATCAGACCGCTATTAAAGTAAGCACATTAGTTACCCAAAGGTGCAATCTAAGCGAATTCTGCCCAAGTCTAAAACTCGTTAGCATGTTTTAGCAAGCCCCCGAGCTATA